TTGAACTTGAAATCCTCTTGCCTCTGCCACCCAAGTGCTAGGGTAACTGATATGCGCCACCACACAGGCAGATACGTCTTTTCTCCGGAGTAATGTGGAGTACAATTGGAGGAGAAGAGGTGTGATAAACTGGTGATGACTGGGGGCGGGGGTATATTACAGCCTGTTTAGGTTCTCTTGGTGTATGGCTTTGTGACCTTCTTCCCCTCTAGTACAGGACAGGACTGCAGATACATGAGAGTCTTTCAGAGATAAGGGGTGTGCTGTGTAGCTATATTATTGACAACCATGTACACAGAAGACTGCCATGTCTCAATTCTCATGAGGCTACATTAAAAGGGAGGAGGATAGAAAATGCACCCAGTTACAAAGAAATGAACAAGATGGTTTTGGGGCTGGAGAGATGGCTCAGCATTAAGAGCATGTGCTACTGTTATAGATGACCTGGGTTTGGTTCCCAGCACCCATATGTCTGCTTACAACAGTCTGTAACTCCAGTTCCAGGGAATCTGACGGCTTCTTCTGGAGTGCACTGGCACTGGGCATGCAAACATGATGTACGTAGATATGTATACACAGATGAAACAGTTATACACAAAAAGTAAAAATAAATCTTTTATAACAACTTAGATTTAGTTAGTTTTGTTTGGTTGTTTTTTTGAGACAAGGGTTCTCTGTGCAGTCCCAGCTATCCTCATCCTCTATCTTTAGACCAGGCTAGCCTCAAACTCAGAGATCTGCCTGCCTCTGCCTCCCAAGAGTTGGGATTAAAGGCGTGCTTCACTATGGCTGGCTTGCTTATTTATTTTATATGTGAGTATTTCACCTGAATGTATGCATGTGCACCACCTGTTTGCATGTCTGATTTCCAAAGAAGTCAGAAAGGGTCTAGAATCCCCTGGAACTGGAGTTAAAGCCAGTTATGAGTCACCATGTGGTTGTTGGGAATGGAAACCAGGTCCTCTGCAAGAACAAGCGCTCTTAACCACTGAGCCATCTCTCCAGACCCAAATCTTTTTAAATGATACTATCAATGTATGATAAATACATTAAGAAATCAAAACAGATTAGTAAGTGATGGAGCATCCATTAGACAGTGAATGAAAAAATGAAATAAAAGGAGTGTTAGTCAACCAAGAACCACCCACATTCCAGAGCCAGGTGCTCCCCCCTCACTCCACCCCACTTTCAATCATCATCATCACTGTTAGAATTCCTAGCTACAGACACAGCTACATGACCAAGCATGCGCTGTCCAGTAGCCAGGCAAGATGCTTAGCCATCCCAGGGGCTAACGTCCTACAAAATCCGTGTGCAGTGTGATCACGTCATCTATGCGCATGTGTGGCGTAGCTATGTGAGCCCATATGTGCATTGCGGGGGTGGGGTGGGGGAACCTATGAAAGCAGGTTCCACCTATTACCCCTCCTCTCTTTCTGCACGGTCATTCCATAGGCCTATGCACGCCCCTTCTGTTCCCTCCCCTTAATAAACTCTTATAGTGGGTTTTGTTGGGCCTCATGGTTTCTCTCAGACGGTAAACAGTGCCGCTTAATAAACAGCAATCACCACTGTGGTGTATTTTCCCTGTGCATGCTCCATACCGCCCCCCTCATAAAGCCCACAGCATCACAGCATCACAGCCTCTCATCCTCTCCCCCTAATACATCTCTTTTGTGAGGTCTGTTGTGGAGTGTGATTTTTGCAGCATTCCTTGGCCCCAATAGCCAAGGTACTCTACATGACTACTTCTAAAATATGGAGATTTTTATTGTAGATATAAGGGAGAAAGCAGGCAGAGGGGGGAAGAGTCCAGGCTGAACATGGCAAGCAGACTAAACCAGACCATGAAAGGAGAGGGGGGAAGGAGAACAAGAGAGGAGCAGCTGACCAAGAAACCAGCGTGACTAAAACAGCTAAGTCATGTAAGGATCAGGCTGGGGAAGGGAAGCAGAAGCCCCACCCCTAGGAGGGAGGGATTTAGGGCAAGGGGGCGGGGTGAGAAGTGCTGGGAGGAGCCACCAGTATTAAGAGGCTAGCCAGTGCTGCTTTAGGATATTAGTGGGCACCGCAGTTAGCCATTTGTCCAGTCTTTCCGAGACCTTAGACCAGCCAGTGATAGTGGCCTTTATTTTTTTCCCCTTTACTTTATGCTTAAGGGTATTTTACCTGCATGTATGTCTGTGCACTATGGAGGCCAGAAGAGGACAACAGGTCCCCTGGGACTGGAATTACAGTCATTTATGAGCCTCCAAGAGGATTCTGGGAAGCGAACCAGGGTCCTCTGGAAGAGCAGCCAGTGCTCTTAACTGCTCCAGCCCTACAGGGAGAGCTTTTGAATATGCCAACTAAGCAGTCATGTCTGACAGAGCATCCTGCCAGAGGCAGAGAATTTCAGGACTGGGATGGTGGGCATTAACGAAGAGGCAAGAGGGGTCAAGGAGAAAATCATGTCGGCCCCGAGGCTATATGGAGGCCTTCCATGCAGCTCTACAGGACTGAAAACGCCAGGCCCATACTTGTAGTCCCAGCACTCCCGAGGTGGAGGCCAAAGAACGGTGAGTTTCGGACCAGGCTGGTCTACTTCGTGAGTACCTGGCTGGCCAGGGAGAGCAAAACCCTGCCTCAAACAACAGGAGTGCTAGGTAGATGGACTGGATGGACCACCCCGGGGAGGCCGGAGTTCAGGGAGCATGCACAGAACAGCCTGTAGGTAGGGCAAGTGCCTTCTGGGGACAGACAGAGACAGCCAGTCTCAAGTTGCTGAAGTTGAAGGGCCCCAGCATACTTGCTTAGCCTAACGCCATTTTTGAGCAAGGCCTGAAAAGTAACTAAAGGTCAGAAAAACAACTTGTACCCTGGATAAGAGCCAAGTCAGCAGGCGTGTCGAGCTCGGGGAAAAACCACGAGCTGTCCTGAGTTTGAACCTGGCCTCATACGAATCGTCCAATCAGAACCCTGTAAACTATGCTTCCTGCTTCTGTACCCGCCCTTCCGCTGCCCAACCCTATAAAAACCCTCCACTCCAGCCCGTCGGCGCGCCAGTCTCTTCAGCCTCTGGAGGGACTGTATCGCCCCGGGTACCCGTGTTCCTGAATAAAGCCTCTTGCTGTTTGCATCTGACTTGTGGTCTCGGTGTGATCTCTGGGCGAGGGTCTCTCCAGAGAGAAGACTCCAGACGGGGGTCTTTCAAAGTAACATTTTGAATTAAAAAAAAAGAAAGAAAAAGAAAGAAAGAACAAAGAAAGGACGTGACTGCTCCTAGGTATGTTGGACGAGAACGTTTAATGTGGATAGAAGGGAAAGCATAGCCAGAGGCGGAGATCTGGGAAAGTCCAGAGCGGACATGACCCGGAGCCATTTGAGAAAAGGAGGAGGGGAAGGAAGAGGAGAGAGAGGGGAACCAAGTGTAGCAGCCAAGAGGGCAAAAGGTAAAAAAATAATAATAATAAAAATAAAAAAGGGGGGGGCAACCAAAATGGCTGGATTAGATAGGGAAGAGCCACTCGGGAAGGGCAGCCCAGCCCCTGGGCTGTAGGTTCCGGGTGGAGGGTCAGGGTATGCCAGCCGTACCCTGTAACAGGTAGGGACTGAGGGATTCTGGGAGAAGTTGGCAGCCAGGCCCGCTTTGATATGTCAAATGAACCTCGGTCATTTGCCCCAGGGTTTGAGCTTAACACATTTCAAACATCGATCCTTCCTACAACACCAACTAAAAAAGCCAGGCCGTGGTAGCGCATGCCTTTAATCCCAGCACTCCGGAGGGAGACAGACAAATCTCTGAGCTCGAGGCCAACCTGGTCTAGCAGAGCGAGTTCCAGGACAGCCAGAGCTACATAGTAAGACCCTGTCTTGAAAAACCAAAACCAAACAAACAAAAATCCCACCGACTACAAGAACAGGTAGCAAGTGATTTTAAGATGCCCAAAGCACACGCAGCCAGAGCTGCGCCCCACCCCCTCCACCAGCTCACAGGAAACTCGAAGCATTCTTTCCAAACATCCTGCCCGCTGTGCGCAGCTTAGGCCACCTCTTTAGACGCAGCGGAACGGGGGACCCTGCAGAGCCTTAGCTGCTCCGCGGGGCTGGTCGCCGATTTCCGGCGGAGCGGAAAGCCCTGCGCTGGCTGAGCCTTCAGCCTAGTGGGCGCGGTCGAGTCCCTGGCTGTGGAGCTGCAGGCTCACAAGGCTCCTGCGGAGGGCCTTAGAACCGGATTTTGCAGGCTCTGTAATTTTTCTCCGTTTTAGACAAATTCTCGCTCGGTAGCCCAGGCAGGTTTTGAACTCTTCTTCCTCCGTTTCCCTAGTGCCAGGATCTTAAAATGTTTTACATTTATTTTAGTGTAGGGGGTGGGTGCACGTATTAGAGTGCACAACTTGAATGAGCCTGTTCTCGCTAGCCATCCTGTAGCGTATGGGACTCGAACTCCAGTTATCGGACTTGGCGGCAAGCGCCTTTACACGCTGAACTATCACTCTGTCCGTGTGCGTGTGTGTGTTTGTGTGAGTACTTTGTTCTGTCCAGTGGGAACAGCACCCTCTTTGTGGAAGGCTTTTTGCCGAGTAAGTGCCTCATCCTAGGTAGGAGCTTTGGAAATGGTCATTTTTGTAAATGGATCCTGGAGATACTTGGTAGACTGATGTCTGGTCTGGTCGTGGACACCGGCAGGCCATAAGAAAGAAACCCCATCTAAAACCCAGCCCCTGCAGAGACCGCCGACCACCCCTAGCCCCGGGGAGTCAGAAACGGGGTCTCGAAAGTCGAGGAGCTCCTGCACCCTAACCCACACAAGGCCTCGCGCGACCTCAGCAGCTGGGCGACTACCATGACGCACCGGCCGCTTTCGATTTCACTTTCCTTTTCTCGGGCCGGGCCGCTTCACCTCCACTGAGGCTGCCTGGGGGATTTGCCCGGTGATCAGTGACGTCAAGCAGGCTGGAGTTCCCATTGGAGGGCAGAGTTCGGCAAGAGCCAATCCCAGGGCCGGCCCCAGAGCAATCTCGGCGGAGGGCACCGAGCGCCGGGAGATTGCTGGGCGGGGAGGCTGTGGTGCCAGCCGCTAGCTGAGGAGCTACACCCCGAGCAGCCTGACGGAGCCGGGTGAGCGGGCCCGGAGCCCGGCGCGGGTGAGTGCGGCCTGCACTGGTGAGACACGGCGGCTCCGCCGCGTGACCCGGGTGGGGACGGCGAAGGCGGCCGCGGGCCCAAGGCGGAGCTGGACAGGCCTGGGCGCGGGTTGGCGAGCTCGCGTGCCCGCCGCGTCCCCGGCTCGCTTCTGGGCCTCTCGCCCTGAGCTCGCTGTGTTCATTGCTCTTCAGGTCCGGCCCAGACTTACTTCTGTCTCAGCTAGTCCCCAGATCCAGGAGTGAGTGGAACCCGGATGACGTTCTTCCGTTCTTCGGTGGCCTGGAGCCCTGCATGACCAAAGGCAGGTCTCCATTTATTATTTTATTTATTTATTTATTTTTATTTATTTATTTATTTATTTATTAATTATCTATCTATCTATCTATCTATTTATTTATTTATTTATTTATTTAATTTATGTCAGAGTAAATTAGCTTAGCCACTTGTACCCGAAGCTGTGTATTATGTTATCCCTGATGATTTACTAACTAATTAGCTTTAGAAAAAAAAAAAGTGTATAAGCAGGATGGTGATGGTGCACGCCTTTAATCCCAGCACTTGGGAGGCAGAGACAGAGGAAGATGGATCTCTGAGTTCAAGGCCAGCCTGGTCTACAGAGTGAGTTCCAGGATAGCCAGGTCTACACAGAGAAACCCTGTCTCGAAAGACCAAAAAAGGAAAAAAAAAGGGAGGGGAGGGAGGAAAGAAGGTAAAAAGTGTATGAATTTAACTTTTTGGAGTGAATGGGAGGAGACACTTAAACCATTTCCAGTACATTCCAGATTTTGACAGGGCAGCCATTTGTGTGTGCCTCGGAAAAGGGAAGAATGACGTGTTCATGCATGCCTGAACCTCTTTTTGTTAGATGAAATCATGATCCCTGGAGTATGCCTCCCAAGTTAAAAAGAAACAACAAAACACCTTTTCTAAAAGCAAGCTTTTGTTAGTGTTTTAAAATTGCAACCTGTTTATTATTATTATTGAGACAGGATATTACCATGTATCCAAAGAATGGCCTGAAAGTGGCCGGACAGCCCATGTTATCCTTCCTCTTGAATGCTTAAATCACAGAGATTACAGGCATCTGCTAGGACGCCTGGTTGTAATTTTTAATACACTTTATTTTTTATGACAGTTGTAGGTCTACAGAAACATTGAGAAAACAATCTGTAGACTTCCTATATAACCACAAACTGATTGCTCTTTCATTAACATCTTACACATTGTTATTGGCCAAAGTCCACAGTATATTTATTCACATTTCCTTTTTACACAAATACTTATCCCTCCGTATGCTCATCCAAGTTACTGCATTGCGTTTGGTTGGCTGTGACGGTTTTTAGACTTTGTGTGAACTTTCAAAGTTCTGAGAGATACTCACAGCTTTGGAGGTTCTAATCCATGATCCGTTGGTACCTGTTGAGCTGGTCCTCTGTGAGGCAGCTCATAATAAGGAGTGTACGGTGGAACAGAACACTCTTGTCATAGCTGGGAAGCAAGCGAGAGAGAGAGAGAGAGAGAGAGAGAGAGAGAGAGAGAGAGAGAGAGAGAGAGAGAGAGAGAGAGGAATACATCAGAGTTTCACAGTCTCCTCCTGTGATGTTCTCTGAGTGTCCTGAAGAGCCCCACTGCTTAAAGTTTGTACTGTTTTCCAGTAGTGCCAATGCAAGGAACAAGCCTTTCTCACATGGACCTGCGAGGCGCATTATGATGTAAACTGTATTTGTATAGTACCCTCCTGTTTTATGTCTTACTCTTAAGATTGGGCTTATGTGTTAAAAGGATGGAATTAGGTTACCATATTCAGGACACCTTAGCAAGGATTTCATGTTGTCAGGATTTATGATGATACTGACCTGCTCACCCAGCTGAGTGTGTGTTGGTTTTCTGCAGCATCAAGTTCTGCACTGTTTTTTCTTCCTTTGCATATAGTATTATTTGAAAGGACGTCACTCTGCTCATCTAAGGAATTAGAGAGGTACGGATTTTAAATTATTCTGTATGGGAAATGTGTCCCCTTCATTAATTTATCCGTCCATTTATTTATATTAGTATGGACTTGCAGATACTGGTTTTAGACATTGGATTATAGTCCAGTTGTACTTTGTTTTGTTGCTCAAATTGGTGCAGCTTTGACTGTTGGAAGCTGACTGCCTCTCTGTCCCTCCTCTCTTAATTGGGCATTCAAACACTTTTATTTATGTGACCCTTCAAACTTCAAACTAGTTGGTAAACTTAGCCAAACAATTTTCTCTTGTTAAAGAGATAAGGAAAGCCGGGGCTGGAGAGTTGGATCCTTGGTTCACTGGACTTGTTGTTTTCAGAGGACCTAGGTTCAGTTTTCTGCATCCACGTGGCTCATAACCATCTAATACCCTCCTCTGAACTCTGCAGGCACTGCACACGTGATGCAAATACATACAAGCAGACAAAACACTTGTACACACAAAATCAATCTAAAACTTAAAGAACAAGAGGAAGAGGTAAGGAAACCGAATCTTACCAGCCAGAATGGTGATTGCCTGTAATCTCAGCACCTGGAAGGCAGAGAAAGGTTGGTCTCTGTGAGGTTGAGGCTACCCTGATCTACATAGAGAACGGCAGATCAGCCAAAGGTGCATAGTGAGACCTTGTCTCGGGAAAAGAAAGAGTTAAGGAAACTAAGGCACAAGGGTAGTGGGTGACCTGTTACTTTCTACAGGAGAATAACAAGCAGGACTGAGACTGGATCTGTTACTACAGAATTCTGCAAACCTCAGGTGGAACTTTCTGAGTTAAGGCTTCTGGAGGTGGTATCCTACTTACACGCCCAGGATCAAAATAGAAAATACATGGGAAGAAGTTGTGTGTAGAAAACAAAGGATTAGTTTAAGATTGACATTTAGGATAAAATAGACTTTGGCCACATTGATGGAAATGGAATATTGTTGTTGTTTGTTTTTGCTCTTTTGTGGGGTGTGCCACTCAGCTCCCAAATAAATCACACTCAGAGGCTTATTCTTAATTACAAATGCCCAGCCTCAGCTTGGCTTGTTTCTAGCCAGCTTTTTTTAACTTTAAATTATCCCATCTACCTTTTGCCTCTGGGATTTTTTCTTTTCTTACCTCTGTATATCTTATTTTTACTCTTACTCCGTGGCTGGCTGTGTGGCTGGCCCCTAGTGTCCTTTGTTCTCTTGCTCTTTCTTCTCTTACATCCAGATTTCTCCTCCTATTTATTCTCTCGACCTGCCAGCCCTGCCTATCCTTTCTCCTGCCTCAATATTGGCTGTTCAGCTCTTTATTAGACAGGCACAGTAACACAGCTTCACAGAGTTAAACAAATGCCACATAAAAGAATGCAGCACAGCTTTGCATCATTAAACAACACGGTGTAAACAAATGTAATACATCTTAAAATAATATTGGAATGCTGACCTTCCCTGAGAGGGGTGGGTAGGAGAAAATCTGGGTGACTGTGGCAGAAGATGGCTAATATTCAGATCTTGCTGTCGAAGCAGGATTGTAAAGTGGGAATCTGAGAGTTTCCTGAAAATTGGGAGCAGAGAAGCTAGTAGGGCTTAGAATCTGGGAATGACATTTTATGGACATGACTCCATGATTTGGATCAGCTACTGGAGCTAAAAAGATCGTTGAGGTATAACTCTGATTTTCACATTCTGATTGGGCGAGACTACCCACCCCCTGCCAAAAAAAAATCAATTATAGAGCAGTGTGATAGAGTTATCATAGAAGTACAGAACTAACTGAGAAGGAGCAGAGATAGGGAACAATTTCATTCAAGGCTGAGCTGAGCCTGAGAGAACAGAATGCACAAGGACAGAGGAGGAGTATGAGAAGTGAAGGGCCTCTCCCTGTGTGCTGACTATGGAGAACTAGGCAAGGCAAAGCAGGATTGAGGGCTGGATGTATAAATTTGGGCCAGATCCCCTCTCCCCCAGAGGAGTTTATTTAGTATGTGAACGGGCACATGTGCCATGGCGTGTGTCAAGGTCAGAGAACAACTTGCAGGTGTCAGCTCGCACCCTACCATCATGTGGGTGTAGGTCAGTAGGCGCCTTTACCCACTGAGCTGTCCTTTGGTTTGAAGGGGATTAATCTACTTCTAGTCTGGACTCTGAAAGGTAGGAAGACACACACTTTTGATCTGGATCTTGTGACAGGAAGATACAGGCCTTTAATTTGGGTCTTGAGGTGGGAAGACACATGGCTTTAATCCAAATGTTAAAGCTGGAAGACTTACCCTTAATCTGGGCCACACCTTCTGCTGGAAGTCTATATAAGGACATAGAAGAAGGAGGGTTTTGCTCTTTGCCTGCTTACCCTTGTCCTGCTAGCACATCCATTCCTTCACTGTCATTGGAGCCTTCTTCAGGATTCCAGCATATACAGAAGACCAGCTCAAACATCCAGCCTTGTGGGATTTAGCAACTACTAGATTCTTGGACTTTCAATTCACAGCTAGCCATTGTTGGATTAGCTGGACTGAACCTGGATTCCAATAAATCCCTTTTTAGATATAGTTCTGTGACTCTAGAGAACCCTAATACATCACCCCTCATAAAATATGTTGCTTCAGTTACTTTACATATCCTTAGTTTATGTTCCACATGGAAGAATATTTTGCCAGTTAATTGATATGTGACATTGATCATATATCAGTGATGCCAAGATATAATATTATAGGTCTCTCAACTTTGAAAAATAGTAACTCCCTATTAGCTTGCTTAGATGCTCTCCCCCCTACCCACCCATACACTATATAAATAGTCAGAACTTCCTCATCATACTTACCTATGGGTGGACTCTGAGTTCACTGGCTCCATTTGTGTTTATTTATTTTTGAGACAGGGTCTCACTAGATCCCTGGCTAGCCTAGAACACTTACATAGACCAAGCTGGCTTGGAACTCAGAGCTGCACCTGCCTTTACCCCCTAACACCACCTCGCTGGGATTAAAGTTGTGTGCCACTGTGCCATACCTTCTGTTGTGATCCCTACACTCCAAGGTCTCCCCATTCACAATACAGACTAGGCACAGTAGCCTGGACTGAGGTGTACATGGGATAGATTTACTCTGCCTTCTCTTTCTATACAGACAGAATAGGAAAGCAACCTGTCGTTAACTATGAGGAAGCCATCATGTGTAATTTCAGAAACACTGGTTTAGCTGGGTATGGTGGCACCCATTTGGAATCCCCTCACTTGAGAGTTAGAGAAAGAAGAATCAGGAGTGTAATATTAGCCTTGACTACATAGCAAGTTTGAGGCTACAATGGAACAGACAAAACCTTGTTCTAC